GGGGGGGGGGGGGGGGGGGGGGGGCAGGATCCCCCTGACACACTCCCTAAATCTGCAACTGTGCAAGGAATTTGATTCCTTGGTACATGACAATTAACGGTTTTGTCCAAATTCACTGACCATGCTGACACTTTTTGAGGCACAACTACAGTACATCTTATACTGTTGTGTTGATTAAGAAGATGATCTAGATAGTGACGTACATGTACATTATATTAGGGGTAAAGTCTAACAAACACAAATGCTACAGATTAATATCTGGCACATAAATTTAGTGACATGAGTACATGTCACTAGATTGTATAGGCTTCTAGGCCACCCTCTAGGCAGCAAATTATTTATGGGGGGTGGGCTTTTTCTAAAAAAATAATCTTTTTCTCAAGTTGGGTCAAGGAGAAAATAACAGGCTAAGGATTGAACCGACTTAATTCAAGGATCACTGTTAAGATCTGTCCTTCTGGTAAATATCATATGACCATTACAACCTAAAATGCTACAAGACAAGTCTTTTCCAGTGTTCAGTTTCACACATCTATGTTGAAATTCCTTACTCATATGTATGCCCAGCTGTGTCCGTTTGATGGCAAGATGCCAATGACATTGCGATAATTGACAACAATCAACATGCATAATTTGCACTGTGCACCATAAATATTTCACTCTCCTGTGACTTATTTAAGCACTGGAAGCTTTTGAATATTTAACTAGCAGGTGAAATCTAATATTCTAATAAGCAATTGGATCTTGGTATTACAGGCAAATTCTTAAGACGCAATTGATATTTGAACATTCTAGACTGAGGAGTAGGGGACGTGTTTCTAATGCAATATGTCACAGCACGAAGTTGGAAAAAACGTAAACAAAGGTGGATTTGACCTTACCTTGATTTCCCTACACCACTTTCTCCTATGATGAGAATTTTGAGGGTTGTAAGGACTTCAGATTCGTTCATCCTCGTGTTTTTTCTCTCCTGTCTGTCACTTTTTCAATAAAAATTCCAAGTTGGAAGATGTCTCATCATCAAAATGAAAATGGTGAATGTGGACTACGTCATCGAAATCTGCAAATGTAGGTTGTCGCTAGGTGGCAGCTCATCCAATACAACACATGAACAAGTACTTTAAACAACAAATGTGATCAAAACCAAATCATCATTCTCTGACTTTCCAGAGAGACACAGAAAAGAAAGCTTTTTTAACAAGTATTGACCAAATTGAGTTATAAACGATCAGAAACATAAAGGTAATTTTAATCTTGCTTTTCGTGAAAAGTGCTGCCACCTTTCTATAGTATACCTTGTTTATCGTTGGCGGCCAACGTATGAACGTGAACGTTATCGATTTTCTACGTTTATTGTCCGATCTATGGCGTTGTGGTGAGTAGCGTATACTGTTGATCATCTAGTCAGTGATGGCATATATCTGGAATGTTTAGTTCTTTAACGTTCTCCTATTCAGGCCACTTACTGTGACAAAAGAGGAAAGACAGGTGCAATGTGTACAACGTTTACAATTATAACAAAATTTGGTACTTTTGTAGTATACCCCCCCCCCCACCCTGTAACTTTCTGCAACTTTCACTTTTCAAACAGTTTTTTACATTTTCTTGTTCATCTTTGTCAAAGCTGTTGAAATAAAATGCTTTTGTAATTACCTGTGGACTTTTTATTGGTTTTAATCACGTTTAATCCAGCCCATTGAAATACAATGTTAGAATCTTCAATTTACACCCGCAGTCAATAACTTGCCGCGTTTTCGTTGGCTAACTCTAAGGTAATTTTATGTGAACAAGTAGCTCATAATAATTTCACAGAGGAAGTCCAAGTATACAATGTATCAATCCTATGTTCACATAAAATAAGGTAGAGTAAGCCAACTAAAATGCGGCAAGTTATTGACTGCGGGTACATTGTAAATTTTCACATTGTATTTCAAGGGGGTGGATTAAACGTGATAAAAACTAATAAAAAGACCACAGGTAATTACAAAAACATTTAATTTCAACAGCTTTGACATAGGTGAAAAAGACAATGTAAAAAAATGTTTGAAAAATGAAAGTTTCAGGAAGTTACAGGGTGGGGGGGTATACTACAAAAGTACCGAAAATTTTAACATTATTGAATATTGCTACCGACACTTGTGGGATTGAACAGAAACATATGTCATTACGTTATAGGCCAGAGCACACAGATATACAGTGTAATGTTGCAGATTAGTTCTTTTTTACTTTGATTAAGACGACTAAATTTGTGTGCAATAAATTCAGACAAAACTAAAACAAAGATAATCTGTCATAGGGTAGGTGAATAAAAATTTAGAGAAATTTAGCAGTTAAACATGCATTTATTTGACTGTTATACTGTGTTACTTTTAAACGCTTCAGTGCAATGAGTGCCAGCGGGAGTGGAGACGAGTTGAAGGCAGAGACAGAGACCCTGAAAGCCAAGCTGAGCCAGGTGCAGCACACGTTCCTAGAAGAATGGTCTGGAGACATGACTGCTGCCATGGCAGAGCAGAAGAAGAGGCACGAGGAGGTCATGAGGAAAGGAAAAGGTACTAGTATGTTATCAGGGCTTCACTTTAAAGGTGGCCTGCTGGCCATGGGCCACTGAAAACCAATCTGTGGCCAGTGAATTACAGGCCTGGGTTACTGACCCAAAGGGTAAGTTAAATTTAATGTGCCAAGTAACCCATGTAAAGTTTACCTGTCCTCTAGGGCCTGATGGCCAGTGGAGAAAAAAGTATGTGTCAAGCCCAGAGGCTATGCAGGCTGATGACTTGAAGGATAGTGAGCAGCTAACATCGTTGGAGGCTGTAATTAGGTCAAGGTCGCCAGTTTCGGTCTTCACATTCTAATTCTGTTGCTGTGGAGCAACTGTGCTCCCAACACCAGCCTCGATTTGGAGTCCACCCCGAAACTGGCGACCTTGACCTGATTACAACCTCCGACGATGTATCTCTAGAAAGTTCAGCATATCACCTTTCTGGTGCAAATGTAAGATTATTTTTATGATCTAGAACCCAAATACGGTCTCAAGGAGGTTTACTATACTTAACAGGAGATCTATATTGGTCCATTTCGCTCCATTTCGCTCCATTTCTATCCATTTCTATGTTTAATAGGACCGTGTTGATCATGTGTACATCGTTTTTAAGATCATTCACAATATAACTTGTAAATACTACAAGCATATTTTCCTGTATTATTTCAGAGGACATGGAAGCATTGAAAACAACACTTGAGCAGTTGAAAGGTCAGGCAAAGACGAACCAGAAAGGTAAGGAAAATGTGAAGTTAACTTTTCTTTCAATTAATAAGTGTACAACAATTATTAGATGTGCTTTTGGATCACCGAGTTGATTAAATATTAATTAAATATTGATTGATTAAGCATTACTTTAATGGGAAATATTTTGTGAAACTGTGCCTTTGAACAGAAAATCTTCTGTTTAACATGTTGTGCTTCAATTAAGAACACAACACATTTAAAAATAAAAACTGAATACATATATTATGAAATGACCATCATCATGATGTTCTTTGCCCATAGTAAAATACAGGCAAGCTTGCTGAGGTTGATGTATTGAAATGAAGTCAGTACAGTGGCAGTTCTTTTACAAGTTCATACTGTTTTTTTAGTCATGGAGGAAAGAATTGGTAAAATGAAGCAGCTCAGGGAGGACATTGGCACAGTAACAACAGAGACAGACTCTTTGTTGAGAGAGAAAGAACTTGCTATGGAGGAAATGAAGTCCATGCAGGAATACATTCAGAAGCAAAAAGAATGTGAGTTACTTGTTATGAAAATCTAAAAAGAAGTCAAAGACAGTACAGAGATCATACACATTACTGTTATTACAATAGGAAATAAATATAAGTAATTTGTAGAAATATGATGAAAGGATGTGATAATTGGTAAAAAGATAATCATTATTTAATTATAATTATCTCAATAAGAAAATAAAACAATTTAATCCAAAGATGATTGTTTGCTATCAATATATAATCATAATATCACCTGACCAATGTTTGTCTTTACCTTCTAATTTGTGAAGCTAGGACAAATCAAATACATTTATTTTCTGCAGTAATAACAGCCCAAGAACAAGCCACCCATCAGAGGTTAGATGAACTACAAAAGGCTTCAGAATGGTTTAAAGACCGATTAGGAATACAGTTCAAGAAAACATCAGGTTTGTATCTTTCACACAATCCAATCCCTTACAGGCACAGCTAATTCTGAGGTCATATCAAAGTTTCAAAGTACTAATTAATTCTCTTTTTCTGAAAATGACGTCGAAGCACGTGTATGGTGTGTTTCCCAAACTCTCTCTCTCTCTCTCTCTCTAATTGTGTGTGTAAAGAAAAGATATTATAATTTTTTCATTTTGTGAGAACATGATTGATATTATGAAAGAGGTTTACCTTGTCACTAGATGGGGGAATAAAAAAGAATAATTATTATTCTTTAGTTAGCGACCAAATCACATTAGTAAAACAATGGGACCAAAACGCCATGTTTGACTGATATCATTTTGTCTCTGAGTAAAGAATACTTCTATTTTATAATTCATGTTGTTTGAACTTCTTGAATAATTACCGTAACTGGTTGTTAACTTTGCAGGGAACAGACTACAGATGGTGTTCACGTGCATAGACCCCAAAGACACGTCCAGGCCTTTCTTCTTCTCTGTAAAGATAGAGGCAGATGGGACCTACACAGGTTAGTGGGGATAGGTTTTTGAATTGACGTTAAAACAAGGGGTTGAACTTCCAAGATGGAGAGTTGGATCGATCCACATAGACCAATGGTGTATATGGGAATGGGGCCTTGGGCATTTACACAGATACTTGTAGTGGCACTGGACATTAAATGATAATACTTCAGGGCCCAGTTAGGTACTGTATTAAAATGGACACTCATAGTATTACTGGATGTTGATAATTACTGGATGTTGATAATTTGTTGATAATTTGTCTCTTTAACATACAACACACTTAAAATAATATGTGCACCAAATAGCTAGTTCATATCTTGGCTTTCTTTGTCCAAAATGTACCCATGAAATAAAGCACAGGTGTCAGGCTTACTTATGCCCCGATTTTAATCGAAATCATCGAAAGGTTCATCAAATATCAATATACTCAAGGTACTTTTGTCTTGGGAGTTCAGCTCCCTTGTACAAAATGATTTCTGAAAAGATGAAACATTTTTGCCTTTTTGTTTGTGAGGCAAGTTTTGAGCTTTCATCAAAGGGCCTTTATCACAGAAATTGGGATGTGAGCTCTCTCATCTATGATGCTGACGAGTTCGCCATGTGAAGAAGTTCCTTAGTTGAACTAATGATCGAAAAGCCTTCATTGAGGTTTTTAAGGTGCATGTGATGTACATGACAGCGAAATACCAGTGCACTTCAAGTATACCTGACAAGTGCAGAGTACAACCAGTATACTTTTTCCTTCTCAAAATTCTCTATGGTATAATTGTCATTAGCATTTATTTTCCCTTTCAATTTCAGTGTCGGACTGTGAACCAGAGATCGAGAATCTTCCAGAGCTGGTTGAAAAACTGAATGCAACCAACAACTTCAGGTCCTTTGTGATCACGATGAGAACTTTGTTCAAGGCAAAAGTGTGTGGGTGATAGATATAAAATATGGACACAGAAATGGGGAGTAGAGCTTTAGAAGTGCCAGTTCATCTTATGCAAATATATTGCCAGTCAGCAATATGCTTGTTTTTTAAAGGTCACTCATGAGCTGTATGCAGGGGGGATGATAATGTGACCGGGGGGGGGGGGATATTTTTTAATGTATTTTTTTCTTTGAACTGCTGTCCATCTTGTTGTAAATACAAGTCAGACAAATGGTTGCATTTCATAAGTCTTAAGACATGTGAAGTGGTAATCTGGTGCACATGAATCTTATGGCAGTTATAAGCAGCTTTTGATATACTTTTAAAACGATCTTGTGTGTAAGTGTGAACATCATTTTTTAAGGCTGGTCTTCCCAATTATTTTTTTTTTCTTAGTGAAACATCTGCTTGTCAATAGTCATATCAGTTTTGTTACTGATGTTAAAAGTATGTACTTTTCAAGCTAGAAGAATACTTTTTTGCAACTGTTTTTTCTTTTAATATTGAAAAATGCAGATTTTGTAAATATCTCATTTGAAAATACTGTGCTCACTGAAATTTTTAGAATAAATGTATTAACTTAACAGATTTGGAATTGCAGTTTCCACACAATTAATCTAAATGAAGCAGTGTGAAGTTTGAATTTACTTAACTGCAGCCTACATATACCTAAAGAAAGTTAAAAAAAAATTCAGGGATTTCTGTGCCAATTTTATTGTGCATCCAAGGGCACTGGTAGAAGCAAATATTTCACAACTTGTTAAAACACTGAGGCTGACATGATGTAGACAAAACCTACTCTTGATAATTATAAATCCTTTGGCATCGACATTGAAACCAAACAATAAACCATTAAAAAAATGAACATGTACACAATACAGTAGACATAAAACTATATGTAGAGTACTGTCATGAGAAAATGAATATTTAAAAATAACAGACTGCCGTAAACGGCCCCCTTGTACCCTCTAAATTGAGATAACTTTTAAAAAATCAATTTTATATGCTGAAATACATTCTAAGGGGCTGATAAATATCTTAATTACTTAAATGTAAAGAAAATCCATCCATTTTGAGACTATTACATAATATATTGTGTAAATAAATTGACCCTTTCAATAAATGTCTAACATATTTGTAAACAAATTCCTTAATACTTGTATAATGTTGTCCATCTAAAAACTTTACAGATATGTTATTTTATAATGTAAATAAATCTTAGATAAAGTAGATTGTCTAACTTGATTTTGTCTGCTGGCTTAATAATTGTCAAAAATTGTCTCAATTATTTAATACTCTGTGCTGAAATACCATGACATAACACACTTTTAGAGCAAATCCTTAGTCTCTAGACTGATAGTGCCAACAAAAAATTAAAATGTCTCAATTATTTTAAAAAAATTACTGAAAAATTCCAACATTGTCTAAATAATGCACAAACTTAGTCACTTTGATCTTCTTTATGATCACAATGTCTAAACAGATGCAAAAATAATACTTTTTAGAACAAAACTGCTACATGTTGTCCAAATAGTTACAAAATAATTTGTGTTTTATATTCCTATTACCAACAAAACTCCCACTGGTATTTAAGTTGCCATTGATCATGACTTGGGCTATTGTTTGAATTTCCTAATTCATAACTAGAGGATCAGAGAGGCGATACCGCCTCCGAATATTGTACCACCAGCTGGAGCAAGTGCATTCGTATAGACCCCCACATACACAAAATAAGGGACACAGCCACCAGTTTTGTGCTTGACAAGCTGTAAAAATGCAATCAACAAGAATTTTTAAACTATTGCAAAAAATATACATGGTACAATCAAATTTAAGTTCTTCGTAAGATAGGTCAAGGGTCAATTTCAAGGTCACAGTAAATTGCCAGTATATGATTTCCTGTTCAAGTTCAAGAGTAACTATGGACCTATCTCTGTCAAGTTTGAAGTTAAAAGAGAAAGAAATTAGCAGAGTTCACTTCATGATAAAAGTAGGTCAAAGGTCAATTTCAAGGTCACA